ATTTCGAGCCCAATCGTTCCCGACTGAACCCGTTTTTCTGGTCGGGTGGTCTCTCACTAAAACCTTTTCCTTCACTTCCACGTTAAAAGAACCGTCTGGACGGTCCCATTTTTCAGCGACTGGCCTTTCAACAACCTTGAGTCGTTCTTCCGGTCGGCTGCTATTTGGCTGATTCCCTTTCTTTTTTCCGGGACTTGCCTGAGTTTGCTCCCCTGTTTGTCCACTATTGACCGAACTTTTCCTTGTTTCCGAACTTGGTTGGATGTCAACCATTGCAGTTGTTACTTTCGGAAATGGTTGCTGGTCTACACCTAAAGTGATGTATTTGAGCCGACCTGTCTTGATGGCTTTTTGAATTTCCTTCCTAAAATGAGTACACTGACTTGTAGTGTGTGTGAAAGAATTATGCCACTTACAATATGGTCTCCCTTTGATTTCTTCTTTAGTGGCAAGTCTTTGGCCCTTTGGAATACGGATCTGCCCATCAGTCAGTAGGATATCAAAGATTTCATCAGCTTTCGAACTATCAAAGGTCGTTTGCTCCTTTCCTTCAGATCCTGGTACTGGCTTCAATTTGGGGCATACATAAGGTTTTCCAGAAAGGATTTCGGCTGCCATCTCTTCTGACTGATTAAAATCAAAGTCACATGTTTCTGTTCCCATACTCGCCATATGTTGGCCTCTATTACGCCTGTTATGCTGATCTTCCTCTCTGAACAAAGACTCTAGACGTCCTGCCTTGGATGCAAGATTTGCCAAATCCTCAACATCCAGGGCAGTGAGTGCCTTTCTTAAACGATTATGCATATTCCGGACCACTAAATTGGTCATCTCTTTCTCACTGATTACCGTAGGACATCGTCCCTTCATCAATCGCACCCTTTCTATAAACTGTGAAGCAGTTTCTTCTGGATACTGTCTCAATTCAAGTAAATCAGTTAAAGAAACAACTGGTAAAGGATTAAAGAATCTAGCGTGAAATGCCATCTCCAATCCTTCCCATGTCTGAATTTGTCCAGGAGGTAGACTTACAAACCATGAAAACGCCGTTCTGGTAAGAGACAAACCAAACAGCTGTAACTTATAAAAAGGGTTATTGCCAACCTCTCCTAATTGTGCTGTGAACCGACCAACATGTTCTATGGTGGAAGATCCGTCCTCCCCTGAGAATGCATGAAAGTCGGGTGGTCGAAAATTCCTTGGGAGAGGGTGTTCATGAATGATCCTTTCTGGGAAAGGTCTTTGATATGCAGGGCGGTTAGCCATCTGAGGAGTTAATCCATACTGATCCCTTAATATATGTGCAATCTCATCAGGATCTACATGAAAGCGTTGATGATCAGGAACCTGGAACGGATCCTGCACAGGAATATGAATCGGATCATGTATATATCCTTCAGGCCTGTCCTCCCTTATATTGTTCGGCTGCGAACTGGTAACCCTTGGTCCCAGTGGAACATTGTTGGGAAAAGTCAAAGGAGTTTTTCCCCGATCCATTCGGTTGGGATTTGTGGCACTTGGGAATGTACTATCCACGAATGATGGCCCTGCGAAATTTGCCTGTGGTCTGGACGGTGACACTCCTGGTGGCGTTTGAGTGGGTTGAAGACTAACCCTTGACAATGCTTGATCTATCATGTTCTGCAACTGACTCTGTTGCTCACGCAACATGTTCGTTTGTTGCTCACGCAACATATTCTGCATAACCAAGGTATGCTGGTTGTTCATTTGTTGAACATAAGACCACCAATCAGTTGGTGGTTGTGGGATTTCCCCGGCATTTGGCACAATGGGTGGTGGAACGGATTCTCCCACCGGTGTCGAAGATGCTTGCGGTTGTGACCCTGCCATATGGACCCTTCCGATGATTCGGCCGGATCTAAGACGTATGAAATTATCGCCGGAATTGGAATGAGCAATTTTGTCTTGCTCCCACTGTGGTCGCCAATTTGTTGATGTATTTTTTCAACAAAAATAAAGTAAAATTCAAAGATATAGAAAATATCCTTAAACTTGATTATTTAGTGCCTGAGATTAGGAATCTCTAAACACTGTATGGTACAGAAAATAAACTGGAAAATAAAAGACTGAAATTTAAAGTGGTGATCCCCAAATCTGACTTTGCTTTGTTGAAGTTGATTGAAGATACCTTGCCAAATGATGATCCAAATCCTTAAATATTCCCTGGGAAACCGTACTGAAAACCGTCACCCGAACGGTTACAACGTCTCCTTCTCAACCGTCTTCCAACCTTTCTTATGCTGACACGTGTCCCCAGCAGACCAAAATTCCCTATATTTCACTCCTTGAGCCGACCACAGACCTTCCGCTCTTTTGGCCCGACTTCGTCCTTCGTCCGACCTACTTCTTCGCCCGACCCCACTTGGGCCGACCTCCATATCAACCGCCCCCTGTCTTTGATCAAAGGCCTCCGTGTTTGTCCGACTCCTCCTTCTATCCGACCTACAGTTTACCCGACCTGCGGATATCCCATCTCAACGACTTTCCGTCTCGAGGACCTCCCGACTTGAAAACCTTCCGACTCATCGTCTTTCCGTCTTGCGGACCTCCCGACCTGAAAACCTTCCGACTTGAGGTCTTTCCGTCTTGCGGACCTCCCGACCGGAAGACCTTCCGACTTGAGGTCTTTCCGTCTTGCGGATCTCCCGACCTGAAGACCGTCCGACTTGAGGTCTTTCATCTTGAGGGCCTCCCGACCTGAAGACCTTCCGACTTGAGGTCTTTCCGTCTTGCGGACCTCTCGACCTGAAGACCTTCCGACTTGAGGTCTTTCCGTCTTGCGGACCTCCCGACCTGAAGACCGTCCGACTTGAGGTCTTTCAGTCTTGCGGATCTCCCGACCTGAAGACCGTCCGACTTGAGGTCTTTCATCTTGAGGGCCTCCCGACCTGAAGACCTTCCGACTTGAGGTCTTTCCGTCTTGCGGACCTCTCGACCTGAAGACCTTCCGTCCTGAATTTTTCTTAGAAATAAATAAATAAATTTATTTTCCTTGATTTCCTCACGGTGTCCTTCAGCCAGTTCAATCAACCCTATTGCCAGGCCCATTCCTCGTTTTACCTTGGGCTTTTAACCTAATTCTAAATTTCGTACGTAACAAAAATACATAAATTTTAATATACATTAGATCCAATATATGTGTAATTTTAAATTAAAATTTTAGAATTGTTAAAAAAAATAAATTTTTCGGATCCATCAAGTCTTACCGGGTATAGTCTCGGTCGGATCTAATATAATCGAATCTAATTTGAATCTCGGATTTAACAATATATATTTGGGATAAATATCAATTCCAATTGAACCCGACTTATGGTCGTCCCTATAATTTTATAATTTAAATAAAATTTATAATAAACAATAATTTAAACAATGAATTTATTAATTTATTTAAAAAATATTATACAATAAAAAATAATATAAATTTAATTAAATATATAATTCAAATAATAATTAATTTTAAAATTATTTAATTTTTTATATAAATATAATACTATTATTTTTTTATAAAAGGATATAAATGTAAAAATTAAAATTTCAAGAATGAGATTTAAAAGTAACAGAGGTATTCCATTCAAAAAAAATCCCGATTTTAGACCTTTTTCAAATCCCATTATTTTAAATTTCATCTTTTTTTTTTAACCAAACATGAATTTCATGGGATTTTAAAATCCAAATCCCATTAAATCCCATTAAATTCTTGAACCAAATAGTCCGTGACTTTTAGATCCATTTACTACATGGTTAGTCTATTGTCACTTTTTTTTTAATGAGGCATAGTTTGAAAAATATTAAGTTCGGCTATATTTTTATTTTTTACAATTTATTATATTACTTATAAATAAATATTAAAATATTATTTCAAATTGCTTCCTCTTTTGTTTTAGTTATAATTATACATGAAATAAGCAATTTAAAATTAGTTAAAACAGATATTTTAATAACATTTTACATTTTCAAATGCATTTCATATATTAATTTTGAGGCACAATAGATAAAAATAAAAAATAAAAAAAAATTGTGTGAAGTTTGAAACTATTATGAGAAAATAAGAAAAATAAGAACACATAAATTTTATATGATTTGGTGATAACATATCAACCTAAAAACAATAATTATCTATATACAAGCACCCCAAACACAGATAAGTTCAAAAAAAATATCTGTCAATTAAAATAACTATTTTGCTTGGTTAGACCGCCCAGTCACGTTCAAAAAAACATATTGAAACATGTATATAATACGTTTACAAATTATAATAGAAATAAATATTCATTGCTGCGTTAGAATATTAATAAAAATAATAATAATGCAAGATAAAAGTACATTCTTATTTGAAGTTCTTTTTGTGTGTTTCAAAAAATATAAAATAATATTCCCTCCGTCCAACGTTAAGAGTATACATTTACTTTTGACGTAAAGATTAAAAAATAATAGTATTTTAACTATAATGTATAGATAAAAATAATAAAATAACATTTTTATCTTTACTTTGGTATAAAAATAATAATATGATATAAAATAAAAATATTTATAAAAGAAATAAAATATTTAATAAAATAATTACTGTAATTAAAACGTCCCAAAATAAAATGTATCATTTCTAGCGGTAGGAAGGGAGTAATTTTAAAGACAAATTCGGATACATCCGGGTCGAACACAGTGTAAGAAGAAAACCAATTCAAATCCAATTTAGGTCCAATTAATAACAACATAATTATATAAAAAATAATTTTTGAGTTCGATTTTTTTATCATAAGCATAATTATATCATAATACTTCTAATAAAGTATCCGGATTTAATTTTGCGTTATATTTTTAAAAAATTGTAAAATTATTTCAAGTTCGACCGACTCAATTTATATCCGGTTCATCACGTATCTCGAACCCAATCTGCTATGAACTTTACAAACATTCGTCTAGATACATTTCTTAATATTTATGTTCTATATCGAATGACTAACATCACTCTGCAGTGCAAATAAACTCAACTCTCATTATTTAATTAACCTAAAAATTTTGCCACAGCAGATAGTAGAAAACCATAAACTGCATCGATAGTAAAAAGAAACTAAAGCAACTTCTCATCTCCGATCCCAATCATAGCAACACCAAAGCAAACACAACCAAATCGATTAAAATTCACCATGAGATCAGAGGATTACAACTAACATACTAGCAGATTCAAGCAATTTTAACCTCAATAGTCTTCGGCTTCTTCGGCTCCGGCGGCGGCACCTTCTCCACCGTCACTGTCAGCACTCCGTCCTGACAAACAGCAGAGATCTTATCAGTGTCCGCATTCTCCGGTAACACGAATTTCCGCATCAGCTTCCCCATCCTCCGCTCCATCCTCACGTACTTGCTCCCTTCCTTTTCCTCCCTCTTCCGCACGCCGCTGATGATAAGCACGTTGCCGTCCTCCACCTGCACTTTGATGTCGGCGGATTTCAGTCCTGGCATATCCACCACAAATTCGTACGATTTCGGATGCTCCTTGACATCCGCCGGAGTCGCCGCCATAGCTCTGGCATCGCGGACGTATGTTCTCGTCGGAGCGGTGAGCGATTTGTCGCCGTGCGAGTCGTCGCCGTCGATGATGTTAGTTAGCGCTTGGAGAGTGTGGAAGAGTGGGGAATCGAAGCCTCCGTGAAATTGGATATCCATCTTCTTCTAGGAATGTTGTGATTTGCCGCAGAATTGTGGAAGAAGAAGCTGAGGATATTGATCTTATAGGGCGATGCGATGAACAATGGAGAAGTTTCTGGAGAATAGTGGAAGGTACACGTGGCGAATGTCCAGAACTTTCTGGACTATTATTTGAGATCATTCAGATAAAAAAATAATAATTTAATACGGGAAATTTTACTAGGATAAACATATATGCTTTTTAAAATGGGTTTAGAAAAAAAAAGTAAAAGATTATTTTTTTTTATATATATTTTCATTGTTCGTTTAAATTAGGAAATTTCAATATGAGAAATGAATAATTTCTTATTCATTATTTGTAATTTTCTTTTACGTGTACATAAATTGAAAAATTAATAATAACTGAAGATGTACATAGTGTTTGCTTATTTATTTTACTATTTAAGTTTTTATAAAATTTAAAATATATTTTTTTAATTTCATATCATTTAATTTAAAAAATAAAAATAAAAAATCATCAAAAAGATAATTTTTTTATTTTAAATAGAAAATAATAATAATAATAATAATAATATTCAATTCGATATTTTTTAATAAAAATACTAAATATGGTTTTATTTTATTGAAACTCTCTATATCTTATTTATTGTTTTTTCTTAATTGATTGATTAATTTTTTTAAAAAAAAATTTATTACTTTTTATAATAATTGATGTATAATACAATACTGTGTTTACTTTGATTAGTTATCTAATAAATATAGATTAATATGATATTTTAAATTTAAATTTAATTTACTTAAAATATAATAAATAAAAAATAAATATTTAATTTAATATCTCTATAAAAAAAAATAAAATTAAAATAGTAAAATCATAATCAAATCCCACATGTAAACATACCCATCAATATTATTTTTGTACCTACATTCCAAATTCAATTTTATAATCTAAAACAAAATCATCGATTGAGCCGAATTTTAAATCAAAATAATTATTTACAATTTAAAATTTAAAAATAAATGAATTAATTAAAAATCAGAACTTAAGACGGGAGACCGGCTGCAGCCGGATAATCTCAGACCCACAGTTTGGCGGCCACCGGCAAATCAAGGACCCACCCACACAGGATCACTGCCGAGGAGGTAACTGCCACGTGTCCACCACATTCCGATTTCGGAAAACCCTCGAAGGTTCCCACAAAACCCTCTCCCTTTCCCGCCGGCGACGCAAGCAAAACCCCTGCGCATGCCAACTCCGCTCTCTCTACAGCTCTCTTGTGCCCTCTCACATGGACAATCAGCTCGCTTCTCTACCGGAATCGACGGCGTCGTCGTCTTCGTCTCCATCGCTGGAAGATTTGATGAAGCGATTGAATGGAAAAACCGACTCCGAACGACTTGTCGGCCTTCTTCTAGTCACCAAATTCTGTGACAAGAACGACCACAATGTCATTCTCGACGTCTACCGCGCTCTCGGCTTCACTTTCCTCCACCGTTTGTTGCTCACTGGTATCCTTAGTCTTCCCAGTCCTCCTTTTGTACTTTCTTCTTTAAGCAGTTGGCTGAGCTTGGGTTTATTTTTATGCCAGGTATGGGGAGATGGAGCGGCGGAGGCAATAGTGCAGACCGAGAGGGCTACTTGCGGTTGTCTGTGACAGTTCTTGCAGCGTTTGCTAGGGTACCCGAGATTGCTCGTACTGATGAAATGCTGAACAAGGTTCCACTTATTCTGGAGGTTATGTCGACGGAGTATGTATTTCTGCTGTTTTCTCATTTTCTATGTGCTTCTTATGTCGGGTATTGGTCAATTTTATATGTTAATGCTTCCAACCATGGCATATTTTACATTTACGAACAATTCAGAATGTTCATTGTTTAGTTTTTCTTTATGCTCATATCCTGTAAACTGTGTGCAATTATGGCTGGGAACGAGTTCAATTGTTCCACTGTAATTAGAGAGAGCTTTATAGAGATTTACAGCGTTGTCATGGTAATAGAGTTGGGTTACATGATTCGATCTATATATTTTTCGCATAATGCAGTACTACTGATTATGTCGCCGAGCACCCAAATCAGAATACTTACCAATACAAATAATCTATTGAATATGCAGAGAATACAGTGTTTGTTTTATAGTTTGAGTTCTATTATTCAACTAAGGGTCTTGTGGTCCAATTTGGCAGCGATCAAATGAGGAACGATGTGTGACTTTCACTGTGTCAAAGATTTGATTATTAGAAGGACATAATTTATATAGCGATTATAGTATGTCATCAGAGTAATTCCTTTGTTTTGCTTTTATCATGTTAGTTTCATTTAATGTGGATCAATTATAAGCTCCTTTAAATTGCAGGTATGGTTCATCTCTCTCGGAGGAGTGCTTTGAATTTCTGTTTCTAGTGTCCTCTGCCCATGATAGTGGTGTGATTACTTTGTATGAATCTGGAGGGATGAATGTGTTGGCATCTCAAATGCATACTCTACCAGATGGTAATTTCTTTGAATATACTTTAGATATGCTACTCTGAATAAATTAGTCTTAATAATGATTATTTGAACAAATTCCATGTGATCCCCTGAAAATATGTCTATTGTGATGTTCACAATCATGCGAGCTTTTTAACAAAGCTGATGGGCCTGTTAGGCTTCAATCATGGCCCTGATGAACATGTGAGAACTTTCAACTGTGATTATTCTGCCAACCACTTGTCTTGTCTGAATCTCTTGCTATTGTGGTTTAGGTTCTCACACAATGGAACTTGCGATGAAACTGATTCATTTGATTATGAGCAAGCTGTCTTACGAGAAAATCTTTGCTGATCATTCGTCACATCTATCCAAGATAGTGAGTTCAGCTATTTCCTTGCCCTAACACCCCCTCCCACCCCGCTTAACAAATAAATATTGCCTTTTTCTTTGAAAATTCATATGATGTGTTTGTCTCTCTCTCACTCTCTTCCAACATGTTCTTATCCCCAAAATGTTCAGGTAGTTGCAATAGCAAAACAGTTTGCTGTGGTGCACAATGCTTTAAAGTTTGAGGCCCTTCACCTTCTCTCTAGCTTATTCTCATCAAGTTATTCGGTATGGAATTTATTTGTTGTAGGTTCTTTTTTTTTTTTTTTTTTTTTTTTATCGAAAAATGAGACTGGAAAATTTTGAGAAATTTGAGATTTTTTTTTTATGTGATGCTTTGAATGTAAATGGTGTTTAATATAATGTTTTTGGAGGGAAAATGGTAGATTGAATGGTAAAAAATTGGTGGAAAGAAACACTACACTAATCCAGCATGTGCAAAGTGCCAAAGTTAATGCTTTCCCTCTTTTATATTTTTATTTTGGAATTTATTGGCTTGTGTGATATTTATTATGAAACATCCAAATTAGTTTTGTATAAATTAAACCCAGTATCTTCTTTAAGATTTAACCAATTTTAAAGATTGTGAGCTTCTACATAATGGATTTGTTTTATGAGGTTAGGCTTGTTTAATGGTTCCCAGGCTGTGAAATCATACAATTTTCTGCTCTTGTCTACATAAATCTATTCACATGCTTCCATCTTAATGTTTTGGTTAATGGAATTCTGCGTCTCTATTACCTGATCTCTAGGGTGATCTATGTGCCATGCTTCAATCAATGAAGTTTGATGATTGGTCAACTTGCATACGTGTTGGTATCGTGGATGTTTTACAGAATCGAGTGGGTAAGTTTGCTATTGAATTGAAAAAATGAGGTTGCAAACTTGCAATATACAGGGTCTTTTAGATTCAGTCAAAAAAAGTAGTTTAAGTGTGTTCTTTGGTGTAAATAATGGTTTGATGTGATGTTTTGTAAGAGAAAAAACTGTAGTTTTATTTGGAATATGGAGATTGAATGGTAAAAACCAAAACAGAAACCCCAAAGAAACACACAGTTACCTAGCAGTGTAGCAGCTCAGCTCAACTGTCATAAGTTTTGCTTATATTGGTTGGAGGGTGGACAGTGTATGGCCAAGTAATTATTAATCTTTTAATTTTCATACAGAGTGGAGAGATACTTACTAGAGACTCCCATCTGTTTTTGTGTTCTCAACTGCAGCTCCTGCTGACAAACTTCAGGCTCTTGTTCTTGCGGAGTCTGTTATATCCAGTGTTGGTGAAGAGTGGCTAATTGGATCAACGGCCTTACCTGGTGGAGATAGTTCTTTTCCCGCTGATAGGTGATTTGTGAAAGTGATATTCTTGATTTTCATTTTGATCCTCTTTACCTTCTTTTTTATTTTATTTTATTGTTTTGTGCTTCTTTTCTTTCTCCAGGTGCATACTTCTCATTTTGGAATCATCTCGGGTTGAAATTGCTGTTATTTTGAATGAACTAGCATACATTAAGTACGAAGCCTCTAAAAGTTCTCCGGATGCTGAAACCTTTATTACGAAGCTAAGGAATCTGGGTGTTGCTTTCTCTTTGGTTGAAAATGTTATCAAGCTCATCTCAAAATTTGGTGAAAGTGAAGGTGAATAATATTATTAATCATTTAAAACTTAGTTTTTTGGACTGCTCTCTCTCTCTCTCACTAGAAAGGGAGTTTAAAAAGTTTTCTATCTTTCTGTTCTTTCTAGAAGTAACTTTGTTTCAAAGGTGATCATAGAATCTAGATACAACCGTGCATCTGCCTGTTTATTTGGGGACATTAAGACATCCTCTCTGAGGCAGATAATTGAAATGTCTGAAAAGTGATATGTGATTGTGAAGAACTGGGTACACTTGTGTATTGTTGATTTTCTTCTTCTGGTTTGTGGTTACCATTTTTAAAAGAGTTTAGTTAATGGTTTGAAGTTTAGATTTATTGTTCTTTTATATATATATAATGTAAAAATTAGTTGTCAGTTGCTTGCACTGAAAATTCAGTTGAAAATGACAATTAACTGCAGATTCAAATTCAACTTCCATCATCAATGAAAGCATTTTAACCAAGATCATTAATGGGCTTAATGAGACAATTGGTGCGGTCCTTGATTATTTGCAAGATGCAAAGGTAAAACGTATGTTTTTGCTTAGAATACAAATCATAGTTAACATCCTTGATCAAAATCATTATGATCTTCTGCAGGATCACGGGCAGAGAAAAGGAGAAGACCTTTTAGCTTCTGTCCGAATAGTTGGGAGGTATTGCATTTCTTCACTTGAGCTGTGTTGTTTTGGTTCTTTTGTTTGACCTTATGGAATGTAACAATGCATTCCATTGTTGTTGAATCATAATGTCGGTTGGCTGATGTGGACTAGTTGTACATTTTGTATATAATCTTACTATTTATTGTTTCAGCTATCTTGCAGAAGCACCTTGTGCATGTAGAGAAAAGGTGGAGGAACTTCTGAGTTATATGCTCTCAGTTGAAGGGGAAGATGAGTCGAGGTTTGCTTGCATGCATGTCTCTTTCTTGCTGTACTAAATCTTGTCATCACTTCACCTTTGCATAATGTTGGTTGATCCTTTAATTATATTTTGAAATGGCAGTCCTTGCCACTCAGTCTCCTTTTTGCTCCCTATGCTCTATCAACTAACTATGGAGAATGATGGATGTAAGACCTTTGCCTCTACTGGGGCTTATACAGCTGTAAGTATATCATTTTACTAAAAATTTTATTCTTATTTCCTGCTGTTTCCTCCCATGATTAAGCACAATCAGCATTATGAGTCCGAAGTGCTGTTCTATTAGGTAACTTGTTTGTTTCTCCATTTATAACCATGAAAGTAACATGCACATGGATTTAGAACAAGATGGTCTTAAATAATTTAAGATTTCAACGACATACCATCTACTTGGTAGCACTTCTGAACCTTTGGTATTTGTGACAGGTTGTTCAGTATCTTGTTAATTCAAATGATTTAAGCAGCTTTAATGTTGAGGATGCCGGTACAATACACTTGGCATGTGATACAATTTTGAATTTCCTTTCAAAGGTATATAATGCTTTTTTATTTTTATTTTTAAAATAAACTTTAAGATGATGTTTGATTGATGGAAGTGATTCTATTTGTTTGTTTCATGAATAGAGAGATCAAACTCATTTCTCATTGGATTGTAGTTTTGTCAAACTTCTGCAGTTTTTGTCACGATGGGCAGGTATTCTAGTTTGCTTTTTAGTTATTTTTTTTAGTATTTGCTTTGCATTCATATGTTTTATTATTATTATACTACAATCAATGAAATTTGTTGGGATATGAATGCCCAAATAAAACTCCCTCCCAAAATCTAGAATGACAATTTATTGAAGGATGCAAGGAATGATATAAAAAAGGTAAACAAGTTGAACATCAAGGTTTATGTGAAAATCCCAGCATGAAAAAGTGGTAGGATGAGATCAAGAATATTGAACACAATGAAGTACATAGTACAATGACCATGGCACCTTAAACTTAATCTCTCTGATTTCTAATTCTTCTGTGTGAGTGATACAAATTTGTATCATATGTATCACAATGCAATCTTTGTCCTCCCTCAATGCATTTTAATTCTTTCGTGTGTGTAATACGAAATTTTCAATATATTTATAGTCATAGATATAAATATACTACCAACTACAAGTACAGAAGATAATTGAATCACATTTTTGCAAATAGACGCCGCCGCAAATGGGTAAGAGTAGGTCTTGAAGTTTAAGCCCTGTGAAGTCAGTTGCATTTTGTATAACTCATGAAGATTACTGTTGTGTCTCTAGTTGCCAAAAGGCCTTCAACACTTGCGACAATCTCCAAACAATGCTCAAATTTTGGCCAACATACTGAGTTTGTCGACCAATAAGAACAAAAAGTAGCATCAAATCATATTTCACTTCAGTGTAAGAGTAGATTGTCCTAATTCAGAATCAGTTCCTCTAGTAGTCATAATAAAGATATCCTTTTAAGTTCTATCAAATCCAGTTTTATCTCTAGATAATTCTAGATTTTAAATCCAAAGTAGTGATGCTTTCACCCTGAAACTCTACCTCTTACAATGTGGAAGTTAATCAGATGATGATTGGTGAATATAGTCTAATTTCACTCACTATGATTGAGAATATTATGATAACTGAAATTTTAGTATGTTTGTCATTATATCTTGAAGGCCATGTTTATTTGGTTGGATTATTTAATCATCATGCCTTCAGCAATTTACATCGGTTGTGCTCTAAGTAACTTATTGAATTTCAACATGGTCAAGCAGGCGGTACAAATGATCCAAATGTTATTGTGACGGCTTCATGCATATGCTCATTTATACTTGATTCTACTTCCGAAGAAGTTCTTCTAAAGCATCCTGATTTCAACACAGACAACCTGATTGCTGTTGCACAGCTGATTAAGAAAAGTTTGGATGCATCTAGTCAGGTGATTTTCGGGTTGTTTTACCAAATCATTGCTTTATATGATTTTAAATATAGTGATAAATCTTAAATTTACACCCTGTGATTGGATGATTTTGCTGTTTTAAGGCTCCATGATGCATGCTATATTGGATTGCAAGTTAACTGAACCGATAATTTACACATAGTGGATATTCAATCATTCACATGGTACCGGATGAACCTTGGTTCGCATTTTTAATTCTTTGATCCGGCTCTAAATTACTGTATTTATATATATTTATACTGAGCTTCAAAGAAAAGCATTAGTTTTTTTTCTTTGAATATAGAAACAGATTTCATTTACAGAGAGTAACAACAGTATCACTCGTAAGTTACAACTTACAACCAGACAAATAAATCAACATTTCCCCTAGTTATAATGGATCTTTGTTTTGCTCGTCTCGGCGCTTTGCCTGGTTTCAGTTCAGATTTTTGTTTTCATCGTGATTCATGTGTTTTTGTTTAAGCATATGCATAGTACCTTGGTAACTATGATCATGCAATAAATACCCATGAAAGTAGACCCTTATACACTACACTTTTGTTAGTTTATTTTGTGAGATTTTAACAGTCTGCGGTCAACAACCAAAACAGGGTTTGATATCGGAAGATGATGATTCAGAGGTTGATCTTCGCCAAATAGTAGTTTCAGGTAATTTTTAGCCTAATGGCAACAATGCTAATCCTCTAAAGGGGCAAATGGTTGTATGATTTCGCAATTCTGGATGATGGCAGGATATTCTTCTTGGGCAAATCGATTTCCTCACATAAAGAAAATTGTAGAGGGATGATCGGTTTTCCCTGTGTTCCTCCACACGGGCCACGAAGTCTTGTTATGTTACTGTCAGTGGTCGGAATGGATCGGAGACGTGATCGGAATCCGGTGTCGGATTCAGGGCTGGAGGGCTGAATGCTAGCAATGGAGAACCATCCTTTAATGCCAGCCGTAGAGGTAAAACAGCCTGCCTTGTCTGTAAGAAACAGAAAATTGATTTGATTTAGATATTTCATGTTAAATATTAATATGTTTTTGTAGAGAACTTATTTATTGATTTGCCAATTCTAACACCACGTGCATTTATTCTTGTGTTAATGTTATGTTTGAAAATGTTGGAAGAACGAAGTGGGAGTGAGCGAGTCTGTCGTGTATTTGGATAAGATTACTTTTGCACATGTGACTTGCCAAGTATAGATGAAATATAGAAGCTGAAAAAATAAATTTATTTTACACGGGAAGTAGTATTCATCGTGGACAGTTTTTAACAAATAAAAATTTAAATTAATATTCTATTTCAAAGTAATTTTAAAATCATAATCAAACAAATTCAAGCTTTATTTAGCATGGTTTTCATTAAAATATTTTGATTTTGTTATGTTCGAATTTATTTTTTCAAATTTCTTTTTATTATACAAATTAAATATACTTGTTTGTAAAAATATATTATTTTATAAAATTTTATATTTAATTATTATTTAAATTAAAAAATATATATATATATGCTCAAAGTAGAGAGAATAGGGATGGCGAATGGGCGACCGGCGACGACAGTCCGCAGATAACAAAAGGATCAGACCCACAGTTTTGCAGGAAATCAGCGAGCAGGCCCACCAAGCCTAACAGTCTCGCCTAGCAACCGCCACGTGTCAGTCATCGGGTGTCTGATCCCATCCACAAAAACCCTCGGAACAAACTCTGTCTTCCCCAACGAACCCCTTCTCTTTTGCGCCACCCTTTTGCGCTTTTCGCACTGCCCTTTTACAGCTCGCTCTATCTCTCTCTCTTGCCCATCTTCATTCGCACTCATGATCAATTCTTCCCATCTTTCCAATATCACATGAACAAATGCTGGATCTTTTCGTCCTCACCCACTTCCGCTCCCTAATCTGTTTGCGCAAAAGGAAAAAAAATGAAATTATCTACGTGCTCTGATTTCAGTTCCGATGGAGGATTCGAGAATTAGGATGTGGATTTGTTCTTACTTTACGGCTTACGGTTTCCGGAGTTTCGGTTTTTTGTCTTTTCTTTTCCACTGCTTACATAGATAGATAGAAAAAAACAGATTTGGTAGTGTTTTGCAGAGCGAGCAATTAGGTTTTTGAAAAGGGGAAATTGAAAGTGGCGAAGATGAGTTTGAGTGCTGCGGAGGAAGATTCAGCTTCCGAAATCCATCTCCCAGCCGATATCGATTGGGAGATGCTCGACAAATCCAAGTTCTTCTTCCTCGGAGCTGCTCTGTTTTCCGGCGTTTCAGGGACGCTTTATCCGATCGTCGTGCTGAAGACTCGGCAGCAGGTGATGTTAAGCCACGTCCCCTCTTTCAAATTGGCGTCGTCGATCTTCCGTAACGAAGGATGCCGAGGATTCTACCGCGGCTTCGGCACTTCCCTGATGGGAACCATCCCTGCGCGTGCTCTATACATGGGAGCTCTCGAGGTAACCAAGAGCAATGTCGGAAATGTCGCCGCCACTCAGCTGGGGTTCTCCGAGGCCTCTGCGGCGGCGGTTGCTAATGCTGCTGCAGGGCTGAGTGCTGCCATGGCGGCACAGTTAGTTTGGACGCCAATTGATGTTGTTAGCCAGAGGCTGATGGTACAAGGAGGTGGTGCAGTTGGACTGAACAAGTATAATGGTGGGATTGATGCTTTTCGGAAGATTATCCATGGAGACGGCGTCCGCGGATTGTACCGTGGATTCGGGATCTCTATACTAACTTATGCCCCATCGAACGCCATGTGGTGGGCGTCGTACTCAATCGCGCACAGAGTGATTTGGGACTGTATCGGTTGTTATTGCTGCAAGAAGAATGAGAACGGTAGTGGTAATGGCTATAGGCCGGATGGGAAGGCGGTGGTGGCGGTTCAAGGATTGAGTGCTGCATTGGCTAGTGGGGCTTCGGCGCTGGTGACAATGCCGTTGGACACGATCAAGACGAGGCTACAGGTTTTGGATGGAGAAGGGAATGTTGGTCGATCTCCCACGATCATACAGACCGTGAGGAACTTAGTTAAGGAGGGTGGTTTGAGTGCTTGCTATAGAGGGTTGGGACCAAGATGGGCTTCGATGTCAATGTCAGCGACGACAATGATCACGACCTACGAGTTTCTCAAGCGGCTGTCGACCAAGAATCAAGAATCCTTTGCTCTTAGTTAAGTAAGGGTGTTAAGTTGCAAGAAAGAGGATAGGATGGTGAGGTCAAGAATGGGAAAGGGGTGAAGAAATGTTTAGGTAATTTCAACCCCTGTTTTTACTACTGTAGTTTTATATATCCCGAATATCATCACACCATTGTACATTCTGTATAGATGTAGAAATGCATGTTTTAACTTTCTCTGGCTTTGATTGTGTGCAATCCCAGTCAGTCAATAGGTTATTTCATTTCCATGGCTTTGTCAGCTCTTATCACTTATCTGGTTTGGTATGAAACTTTTAGTTTAGTTTCCAACTGTGCCCTGCCCTATTTTCTTGATTTTGAGTTGAAGTTGGAAGGTTTAGAAATCAAGAAATTTGAAATTATTGTGTTGGGATTTTTAGTTTGATTGATCACTGATGACAGGATTATCTTATCCGATTTCGCCATTTTAGTCTAGTTTATTCCAGATCAAGATCAGGGCCCCATCCCACCCCACCCTACCATGATTGATTATGGTAAATTACAGGCAATCTGGTGTGGTGTGTACCTACCACCTGCAGGAAAAGCTAGTCTTTCGATGCAAACCCCATGCTGGTAATCACGTGGTGATAATCAGAATACCATTACTGTTTCAGACAGATCTTCTTGAGTATTTATTTTGGGGATTCTTTCTTTATATTGCTCAGATCAAGATTCTTGAGGCTTAATATAATCCCTCTTCAGGTTCATACAAGTGGCCGTTCATTATTGCAAAAAAAAAAAAACATGATTTTGAATTGTCTCATTTGAGCATGGTCAGCAAAAGATTTGGCTTATTATCTGAACTAATGTATGAAGAAAGGTTATAGAACAGGAGGATTCAGGTGGTGATGAGCCTTCGTCGTCGATTGGTTGCTGTTATCATGCGGTGGAAGTTGTTTATTCGACTGCTGCTGAAGTGTTTGGGGAAACACGGCTGCCGTAGGTCTCAATTCGGAGGGTGAAGAGTTGCAGCAGGCCCGGATTGGGATGTTGGCGCAGACGATGCAGCCGTCGTCTTCTTTGGCCAGGACATGACGTGGAGCTGAATGCTGTCTCGTCTCTCCATAGCTGAAAACAATGCTTCCTTAATTTCGTTGTTGTCGCAGCAATGGATTAAGCCCTCGGAGTCAACAGTTGAAGGTGTCAAGCTCTTCCCTTGCAGCCTAGAGACGATGAGCAGGTGCTCGCTTCTTTTCGCCTCCTCAAATAAATCGCCCAGCCCTGCGCGCGCCGCTGCTGTGCCTTGTGTTACTGAATTGACGCAGATGAATCCCTGTCATATCCGGACAGTGTTAGCGAAGGATGATTGCGTAAGTTAATGCTATTAAGTTAGTTCCATGCCTCTTCGGTTCTTCTCATGTCTAACCCGAATCTGGATTCTCCGGTTTCAGGAAACAGCTCAAGCAAAATCTCTGCAATGCCGGGGAGAAACCATAGTCGTATACCTTTTTCGATGTTCACGACGGTGTTGCTGTTGCTTTGCTGTCCGCCCCTGATTGTCTCTTTCCCGGCTGTTGCGTGGTTCCTCTCCTTCAAGAAGAACTCGAATCACGAATCTTGGCAGCGCAATGAACGAGGATTCGGAGTTAAAAAAAGAAAAGTGATTTTACCGAGGTGATCATAACTTGTTCGGTCTGGATGTTGATAAAGATTAGAGGAATCCCCGATGACATTGCTGCGGAGAACCACGCCATGGCCCTTCCAGTGATTCGATCAGTACTTGCCTCTCTCGCCCGAGGTAGGAAAAGAATGGAGCTAACGACTGTCGCACGATGATCGGGCAGGTACGTTCCTACCTTATTTTTCCAGTCGTATTTTATCCCCTTTTGTCGAAATCCCCGGAAATCCAAATTGATCACTCTCCTGCTCATCTCTGCGACACGAGCGCGAGGTAAATAGCTGTTCGATATAATATATGTATATCTGGAAATGTTAGAACTAATACTACCTTGTAGATCAAAGCATTCTTTGAAAGTAAGGTCCGCAAGAACGGCGACATGCCGTTCATCCGTCTCGGCTCTAACGGTGAACCGTTTCTGCAGCTTCCCATGTCTATCCGGGACGACGCAGACTCGGAGTTTCACTGTGCCGGGCCCCCGTCTCACCTTAAGCCACGCGTGCTCGGCGACGCGGTTGATTTTCCCCAAGTGCAAGCTGAGTTCGGATCTTGCCTTAGCGGATATGAACGCATCGTCGACATCGTGCTCGGCGACCCCTTCAATGATGTCGCCGGGCAACGGCATGCTCTCGTCCCATTCATCCGCGACGTCTTGCTTCACTTGCTTTACGCAGACTACTGTCACGGAGTGCGACGAAGACGACGACATTTTTTGGTGTAATATCAAGAAGATTGAGGAGTGTTGATTGGATATAAGAGGATAAGGGAGTGAGAGGGGATGTCCGAGCTCGACGATGTTCTCTAAGGATAGTTTCTTTAGGACTCAACGTTGGATCATCTTCCTATGTTTGTTTTGATTTCTTCGATGATTTTTTGATTTACAAACAATGTATTGTCCTTGTCTTGTTTGCTAATTTGTCTTATCTCAAGATTCAATCTTTTTCAGCACCATACTGGATATATTGATTCGGGTCGACAAGAGCAACCATGGAGTATTAACTATAGGTTGTGTTGATTTGATTGCTGGCTAGGTTTAGGGCAATGGATGGTTTTTGTAATAAAGATATGTTTGTTGGTGAATATTAAGTTGGTAATTGCATGTGCAATTTTTCTCTTTCTATTTACTTAATTTTTAAATCCTATTACAAAGATAAGTAATTTAATAAGAATAATAGTATTGCATATTAATTAAAGTCAACAATGAATATACATGTACTGAGATGCTTCCTAACCAATATAAATATAATAATAACTACCCTACATACATTCATATTCATCTTTAACTACCATTAAATATCATTTGCAAAGCCTTATAATTATAGATCAATAATTCAAGTTATGAACAAGAATCAATAAATTAGTGCCATAAACACAAATTAATGATCCACCACTAAATTCCCACTTCACTCTCTCCAACTATATATACACATGTTGTCCTGACTTTCTCATTTCTTTTCTATCAATTTTCTTACCAAAAATTAAAATGGAGAAGATGATCAAAGAGAATCATCACAAGTACAACGCCAAGCCAAGAAAATCCCACCGCAATACGGCGTCGTTTTCGTCGACACTCCTCGACGAGATCTGCCGCTCGATCGACGGCGGAGATTGCGCCAAGGCGTGCGACAACAACGGCCAAGATGGCTCGTCGAATTTTGCGAGGAGGACTTGTTTCGTTGATAAATGGATGATCGAACAAAGCATCAATGCTAACTCGAACAACAACGCCGTAAGAAGAAGATCGTCGATCCTCCCCGATTGGGAAGATTGGATAAACGACACCAATAGCGATTCGATGTTCTTGAGCTCGAAGTCGAATTCGATTTCCTCCGGAAGTACAACTTCCGGAGGAGCACGTACAAGTTCAGACATCGATTTCCCGGGACCTTTAGGTCTCTCGTGTTTCTCGACGAGACCTAAACCCGTTCGAGTAACATGCGAAGAGACGAAAAACAAATCGAGCCTCGATCAAGACGACCATGTCAAGTCTAGAAGATCGACGGCCTTAAAATTCTACGCCGGTTTGAAGAAACTTAAGCAACCGATCTCGCCGGGAGGGAAGCTCACGAGCTTCATCAACTCGATTTTCGCCAATGGTGCGAAAAAAAAGTTCGAAAAACATCAACAACCTCACGATCATTTGCAATCGGAGCCATCGTCAACTTCCTCTTTTTCGAGGTTCTATTCTAACAAGTATCGTCCGAGGGACAAGATCGCGACAAATGGCGATCAACGGACGGTCAGATCCCATCCTTCCGGCGAGCCACGTCGCCATCGGAGCATTCATTATTACAATGAAGAATGTCATAGAAGACCTCCGTTGCCACCGAAGTCCGGCAGCCAGATTCCGAGGAAGAATGAATTTTATGTTCCGAGGAGGATTCGACGCGACGAGGATGATGATGCCGACGTCGACGCCGCGAGCGAATCGAGCTCGGATTTGTTCGAAATTGATCACTTGTCGGTGATCGGCAGCAGCCGGAGATTCAGTGAACAACTTCCGGTGTATGAATCTACATACTTTTTTTAAGTTGTAGTTCTGAAATAGCCGTTGAATTGTAATATTTACTATTCAATGAATAAATAATTTGTATATTTACTTTTCAATGTAGATATTGTTAAATTTTTACAATAGTTAATTAAATTTTGTCAAGTATATTAGTTTCTCTATCTCAAATATTTGTAATATTTTACTCTCTCATTCCTTATTTATCTATCCGTACAGAATTTTACCAAAAAGATTAAAATAATTTTATTAGTATTATGTGATATAAATATAATGACATTTGTGTAATACATCTGTAAGAGTATTTTTAATGTTAGTAAAAGAATATTTATTAAAAAAATAAATATTTTATTATGGAACGAATCAAAATAAAAAAATAATACATTATTAAAGAACAAAAAAAAAAAAACTATCTGTCACAGATATTTTGTAATATTTTAAAATAAAAAATCATTAAATTCAGCTCGACTCTCGTACTGAAAAGAAATATTGCTTTGTATTCTATGCTTAAGTGAATGTTAAATTATCTTTATTTTCTAATTTTGTCTAAAAATAAAATACGAATTATTATTATTATTATTTTGAATGTTGTTCTACCTTTTTTTATGGGCAGTCAGTCGTACAAATGATTGATTGCTCTCTTTATTGAATTAAATGCAATAATTTTGGTGTCATAAAATTAATGTCACGTGTATGGTCAATGCTGCACCGCGCCGTATTCTTATTCAAACAATGGTGTGGCAAGTTTGTTTACTTTACATTTTTCTTTTGGTTTAATTTTTTAAAATAATTATATTAATATGAATATTACACATAAAATATTATATTTGATCATTATTTTACCATATAAAAAAATATATATATATAAGACAAAATAAACTGTAATGTTGTCATATTTATGCTGGCAAAAAAATCGTAGGTTCAATTAGTAAGATAAAAAAGTCATGAAAATTGTAAATTGAAATTAAACACATTTATTTGTCGAAGGATAAGGAAGGATAATTATTTTACAATGAAGTGTGGGTATATTCGTCATTGTGTTTTTGAAGGACTGAAATTTAAATGTAAAAAAGAATAGGAGGACATGATCAATTAAAATAAATCAACTACCCATACTTAAAACTCCGCAGCCAATTATGGGCGCTGCAATTAATTTCTAGTTTTTGTTTTGGTTAATAATAATAATAATAATTGCAAACTTTTCTTCTCATTAATAATACTAAAATAAAAATAAAATAAATACTATGTACTAATGAGAAGGAATCTTTTGGTATGATGTACTTGGGCCGACTATATATATATATATAGCTAAAGAGAATGAATTAATATTATCATTATAATGTTGTCTTTTGATTATTATACTAATTAATTTCAACTAATGAAGCGTAGAAGGTCATTAGGGTGGCTCCCCTTACCTTCCTATCTTTATTTTTATTATTATTATTATTATTATTATTATTATTACTGCGGGGGAAAAAATTATTTTTGGTCCAAATATAATAAAAATTCATCAATTTTGGTCTCAATATATCTAAAACTCATCATTCTTAGTCCAAATATAAAATTTTTATCAATTTTAGTCTCAATATAACCAAAACTCATCATTTTTTATCCCAATATAATCTAATATTTTCTTTTTTGGTCTCACCGTTAACATACCGACGGAAAATGCTGACATGGATTTGCAAGATTGTGCAATTTCTTCAAATATAAATATAAGGTTTGATTTCTTTTTACGTTTGTTGACGGTGAGACCAAAAAAATAAGGTTTAATTATATTATGACAAAAAATGATGAGTTTTTGTTATAGTGGGACTAAAATTGATAAAATTTTTATATTTAGACCAAAATTGATAAGATTTTTATATTGAGACCAAACTTGATGAATTTTGGTTATATTGGGACCAAAAATAATTTTTTCCAAGTCATTTAAAATTTATTTCGCATCTAATCCATGGAATAGTTTTCATCTAAATTTTACTTAAATTGTATTTGTACGTGTGTTGAATCAAAAGCAATAGTAATTCGTCAAACTATATGCATGACACAAAATATTTAAAATTTCCATTGAAATTCAATTTTGTGACAACTCAGAAGTTACAAAACTATTCGTGAATTTTCCCAATATATGATTAGAATGATATTGCAATGTGAACTCACTCCATATATAGATAGGGTCACCCAAGGAACCTATGCCAAAATATTATAAATTTGATAAGTGTGTTCATTTAATAATATTTTTTGTACTATTAAATTTTTATATTTTTAATAAAAATATATTATTGTATATATAATATTATATTTAAATCACTATTTGATTAATAGCTTAAAAGTAGACTTAACTAGTCCACAAAAATATAAACCACTATTACTGTTTGATTTGAGTCAATTTGGACTTTGTTTACACATCAACTTTGTCTTATTCTCTTAAAAAAAAACAATTACATTAAATATATATATATATATACCTTTTACAAAATATCACATTAAATTTTATTTTTTTTGGTATTTTTTTCAAACTTTAAAAAATCTTATCTAAACAGAGCTATAAATAAAATTGGGTCGTCTTTTTGTTCAGCCCAATTTTTGGCATGTTTTTATAATGTTGGGTTTTTTTCTATTTATTTATTAATTTCATATACATGTTGACATAAAGTAATTATAATTGATTAATTATTTTAAAAGTAGCTATCAAAATCATTAGAACAGAATCATGGATTATATTCAATGGATTCACGCAATTGTAACAACAATAATAATAAAGTTTTAAGTATTGATGGTTGAGTAATTTCACTTACTAAAGAAAAAGTTACTTTAGGAAATAGAAAGGGCAAGGCAACGACAAGGGTTTGTTTGGTTCGACTTTGTGTAAATGGTGTCAGTTTTTATACAATATTTTGTAAAAAAAAGAAAAAAAAACTTATATCATATATCACAAGACTTGCTCAAAATTGTTTTATTTTTATCTGTCTTTTAGTAAATATATTTTTTATTATATTTAAAACTATCAAATTTATGTATATATAAAAAAGGCAAAGAACCCTTTGAAATGAATTATTTAAAAAAGGCAAATAATAATTACTTGTTAAAAAACTCCGAGAGATGAGGTGTCACTGATAGACGCTTTTAGCTTGATATGTCCCATAATAGTAACGTCTCTACATGACATCTATCTCATATAGAAACAACTGGGAGAGAAAGATTGGAATAACTTGTCCAGATTTTCTTCCGTCAGTAGCTTCAAAAGATAATTTAATTGTGTATTATTTTTTTAAAACTGACCATGGAACCAAAAATAAAATAAATCCTCCAAAATATTGGGACGGGTCAACTCACGGTTTTGGGCTGAGCCGCACAAATTTATTTTTGGATATTTTTCAAAAGACCTCGTACCAGTAGAGTTCACTTGAAATTTATAAAATGTTCCATTTTTTTTCCCAGCTTCCGATCTGAAATTTGGGGTTGCACCCCCAACACAAAATAGGTATATTGCATATGGTCTTTAAGGGCACCTCTAATTTTGAAATATCAACTTGTCACGTAGCTCTTGTCTTGGTGTGAGTGTGAGATATAATTATAGAATAAAATAAAAAAAATCAAGCAGCTTTGGCCTTTTGCTTCCCAATTCCGAATATCGATCCTTCCTGACCCCAATTTGTCGTCTTCCCATTTGTTGGAATATTATTTTCCTTTTTCTGGCCCTAGTATCTACCGCATTCTTCATGCTTTGATTTGCAGAACATGGAGGTTGAAGTTGGGATTCCATTTCCATGCCTTCAGAGGAACGTATTTTGTTTCAGGTCGTCTTCTCTCGCCTTGCAATCCCTTGGTCAAATCTGCTGTCTATTATACTTTATAATTTGCTGCAGTAAACGACATATTCTAAGCAGTTGAATCAATTTCCGCTTTTAAGATCTTTCTCAGATCCACCCCTTCCACTCTCACTCCCACTCTTATTCACACTCACTGTTTTCTTTAGCAGTTCCTATGGCGGAAATTACGGACACGAGATCTGCATATAAAATTGCTTTCACTCTTTTCGGCGCTAGAATTTTGTGATTTTACAGGTATATATACATACATATATATGTATATATATATAGTGTGTCTGCCATGAATGTAGTAGCTGCAGATTTAGGGATTTTTCTTAAACCCTAGAACGTTCTACGAGCTGATCTGTATGGTTTCGTCGCCTAGGTTTAACCTATGGAAGCAAAATACAAGAGCACCGCGGAAATCAGCATGACGGAGAATCAAAAATCGCCGAGTAACCATGTAGTCGTGCATATTCCAGCCAGCGAAAAGGAAGACGCCTCCAAGGAGCACCACCACAAATTTGCAACCGATTCGCCTCAAAAAGCATCGAATGATTCCACATTCGGTCCTCGCAGCTCTGCCACTCCGCCGGCGACCTGCGCTTCTCCAGAAACTTCAATTCCGAGCTCCAACAAGCCTCCCAAAATCCCCACCGCCTCTGCTCTCACCAAAAGGAAATCACTGTCCCGGTCAGTTTACTCGAAGCCGAAGTCACGATTCGGCGAACAGTCAGTGGAGATTGACGCTAAGATGTTCGACGAAAGTCCATCCCTAGTTGAAGGCCACCCTCTGTCCAGTCGAGGCTCCCCTGTTTCCAAATTGGACACCACTGCTTCGACCATTAGAGAAGTTAACAGAACTGTGTCGATAACTCCGAGAACGCCGCTGATGTCGTCACCCGGAGGCCTCGGCAGAGCCATTGAGGTAGACGAGGGCGAGGAAATCTACAAAAGAGTGAGTAGCCGGAGGAAACTCAAGCACAGGAGGGTGAAAACCAAGGTTCTGGTTGAGTGGCTGCTGTTTCTGTCGATTCTCGGGTGTTTGATCGCAAGCTTAACCGTCGATAGATTGAAAGGAATGAGGCTATGGAGCTTGAAGATTTGGAAATGGTGCGTGCTCGTCTTGGTGACGTTCAGCGGCCTGCTCGTGACGAAATGGCTGGTGCATTTTGCAGTTCTGTTGATTGAGCTGAACTACATGCTGAAGAAGAAGGTCCTGTACTTCGTCTACGGCCTCAAAGGCAGCGTTCGTGTCTTTATTTGGCTGGCAGTGGTTCTCTTTACCAAAGTGTTGCTGCTCCAGGAATCGGTTGAGCGTTCGGAGCTAACCATCCGTGTCTTGAAGTTCATAACATGGACGATCACCTCGCTGCTCATCGGCTCATTCTTGTGGCTCCTGAAAAATTTGCTGCTGAAGATTCTAGCTTCGTCGTTTCATGTGAATACGTTCTTCGATAGGATTCAGGAATCGATCAATCATCAGTACATCCTGTTGACCTTATCTGGCCCTCCTCTGATGGATTCGGCGCAAATGTTGGGGAAGACACATAGCGATGGAAAGCAGTTCAGCTTTGGGATCACGAAGAAAATCAAGGAAGGTAAGGAAAAGGGAAAGGATAAGGAGAAAGAGGTGATCGACATTCACAAACTCCTCCAGATGAAGAGGGGGAAGGTCTCTGCCTGGACGATGAAGATGTTGATTGAAGGAATCACGAACTCGGGGTTCACCACGATCACGAATGTGATAGATGAAAATGCCTATGGCGGAGGTAATGAACAGATGGACAAGGAGATAACGAATGAAGAGGAGGCCATTGCTGCTGCGTATTACATTTTCAGAAATGTTGCACAGCCGGGCTGCAAGTGAGTTAATCGACACATCATTGTTGGTAAAGCCTGTACTTCTTTTTTCTAAAACGTTCTGATCTTTAACTTCTATACACAGCTATATTGATGAATACGATCTAAGAAGGTTCATGATTAGAGAAGAGGTCGAGATTGTATTCCCGATGATTGATGTGGCTGAGACTGGACAGATCGATAGAAAAGCTTTAACCGAATGGGTGGTACGTTGCTTGTTGCTTACTTTGGTAAACAGCTTCGAAAATGGTTTGAACTGAAACATTTGCACTTCGATTGCTTGTCTGTGCAGGTGAAGGTTTACAAGAGCCGGAAAGCGCTAGCCCACGCCCTTACCGATACCAAAACTGCTGTAAAGCAGCTGAACAAGCTTGTTACCGGGATCTTGATCGTTATCATCATAATCATATGGCTTTTAGTAACCGGGATTGCAACAACCAAAGTGCTTGTCTTCCTCTCTTCGCAGATACTTGTAGCTGGTTTCGTGTTCTCGAACACTTGTAAGACTATATTCGAAGCGATCATCTTTGTGTTTGTGATGCATCCATTCGATGTTGGTGATCGCTGCGTCATTGATGGGGTTCAGGCAAGTTTCTGAAGTCGACCATACTTCACTTCATTGCACCTCTTTCGGTATTAAATGAGTTCTCCTACACGTGCTTTGATTCCAGATGATTGTCGAAGAGATGAATATCTTAACGACTGTACTTCTCAAGGCTGACAACGAGAAGGTGTTTTACCCAAATTCGGTGTTGGCTACGAAAGCCATCAGCAATTACTACCGCAGCCCGGACATGGGAGATTCATTCGAGTTCTGCATCGACTTCCGGACACCTATGGAGAAAATAGGTGGGCTGAAGGAGAAAATAAAAAAGTAAGCTGCCTTTGTAGCTCTAGTCGTTAAATTCCATTCAATGAGTCTTATATCAAACTGCATTTCAGGTACTTGGAGAAGAATCCGCACCATTGGCATCCGAATCACAATGTAGTTGTGAAGGAGATTGAGAATATCAACAAGATAAAGATGGCTGTTTTCATCAACCATACAATGAACTTCCAAGACTTCCCGGAGAGGAACAGGCGGCGAACTGAGTTCGTGTTGGAGATGAAGAGGATTTTCGAGGAGCTAAGCATTAGATATGATCTCCTTCCTCAAGAAGTTCATCTCTTTGAGAAATCTGAAACTAGCAAATGAGTATTATGTATCTGGCCAGGTAATATATCATCATATAGTAAGTTCTTGCTCTGTATCCAATTTCTGCATTGGACATGTGTTAGACTTAAGATCATGTTCAAGAAACAATCGAATTTTGGGATCCCAGTAAAATTAAATGAGAAATTTCTATTTCTATCTGCAAATAGACACGTTAGATGACACATTAGCTGCTGCTGTGACTTCTAAATTGCAATTGATATGAGCAGAAGGAGACGAGAGTCTCCATACATTTGCCATTCTAAATCGAAGCTATATATATATATATAATATTTACCAGTTCATGTGGAAGGAGGAGCCTCAACTTGTACTGAAAGGAGTAGATGCTTCCATCTGCAGATTAAATCCATTTCAGCTTCTTGCAGGTAAAAATAAATCAATCAGACCAGAAGAAATGAGAAAAACTACACTCCGCAAACCCGAATAATAAGCGACAGTGGTAGAAGATAATTAGTTATTCACCTCTGCCTCCACGGACTAACCGAAGATGGTTGTCCTGAGTGATACATACCAGATATGGAGGCAGGCCTGACTGATCGAAAACAGGAATTAAAGAAATCCTAACTGGTCCACAAGATCTTGCAAATCCTCGCCTATAACTTGTGTCGATGCCACCAAGTCTTCCACTTCCACGTCCGTTGGCTGATCAGCTACTGCCGAGGCTTCTTCTCCCGTGGGGTCGTCACTGAAGAACTTCTCCCATATACTCTCGATCATAGGATTCAAATTGGCGTCAGGATCGCTTGCAGAGGCCGTGGCCTCTGTTGCGTCGCTGCTAGACGCATCATCGAATGCAGCAGACAGTAGTGTCTCCACCTCCAGGTCTTCGTGATCTTGTCCTGGAAGATACGAAGGCTGAGAGATGGCTGCAGCATCCTCGAGATTCTCTACGCTTGGGCTCATGGTTAGTCGCCGCTTCTGCCCAATTGCGATGTGCTTATCCTTCTGCCCATATTTGTCGACGCACTGCTTGAGGAAGGAAGAACTCCTGAAGGCTTTAGCAAGGAAACTCATGATCTGCTGCTGCTTCCGCTCCGTGCCTTGAATTCGATCCTCCATTGCCATGATTCGCTCTCTCGCCGCCTGCTGCTGCTGTTTGAGCTTGATGACCTCTGCAATCAGCAAATTCCGATCTCGTTTGAGCCTCTCGAGTTCTTCCTCCATTCCGTACTGCCCCAGCTCTACACAGCTGCCTCCACCTTGCTGCTGCTGTTGATTCACGTTGTGGTGCTGGACGACGTTTCGCCGGCGCCGGATATTCTTCAAGAGATGCTTCTGACCTCCTAGAAATCCCTCGTTGGCGAACTCCCATCTGTCGGGATCCACTTTTCTGAAGCCCTGCATTTTCAGCGGTTTAGAACCGAGAGAACATTGCAAATTATTGCTTCTGATGATTACCATAAGAAACAATGGGGCAAAACAATCCAGTCAGTCTCTCTCCATCTCAGGTACCACCATTACTGCAAATTTGAAAGCTTATCAGAACCAATTCATATTTTCTCCTAATTATTATAATCCTAATCTCCTCATTCAGCTGAAGATTTTATTAGGGAAGAAAAAGCCCTAGAATTTGGGCGGGGCGGAAATAGTGACAATTAATGAAGGAGAATTTCAGGATTCGGTTTGGCGGAAGAAGAAATGCAGACTATGGATGCCAAAATCCATGAAATCATAAAGCTGAAGCAGAGAAGTTCATAAAAAATTTTGAAAAATGGAAATGGAGGAACGAGGTCACTTACATACGTATTGAGCTGTCGGATGAAGCTGGAGAAGTTTCTGTGCTTGAAGTATCTAGGAAGCAGAGTGGTGGAGAATGTGTGTGAATCCCACACGATGAAGCTGTTCTTCGCCGCGTTCCACGAAATCACCGAGTCTGTCGCCGGATCCTCCACCATTTCGAACGTTTTGATCAGAAACGGCGGTGGTCCGAGCTCGTGCAACCCCTCCATCGGCTGTGGAGAAGACGACGACGACGACGAAGCACCGCCGGCGCCGGCGCTGGCTGTAGCCCCCACTTCTACCTTCACCGTCACATCTTCCATTCCAGGAAGACGGATCTTCAAATTCCGATCACAAAATGAGAATTCGTAGTCCAAAATCGATGACGATCGCTACTGCTCTGTCCCTTCACTTAAGCTGAGAGGAGAGGAAGAGTGAGAGATAGGAATCTTATTTATATGCATACTCCGATCGACGGGGAAAGTTCCAGAAAGTGCTAGAAAAAGGGCACCATGGATATTTCGGAAAATAATTAGAAGCTCCTGTGCGTCGCGCACCGTAAGCATCTCTACCGTTGATTATTAGGGCAAGAGTGTGGGTCCAACATCGCAACGGTGCAACCCGTCGGGAGCTGAAGTCCCAGGAGCTTCGAGGTGTGACGAGATATTTCCACAGATTTCCAATGGCACTGTCTGCGCTGCAAATGTCGTGTGCTGTGAGGGGACAGCAGGTATGTATATAGCTTCTGCTCAAGATATTTTTTTTTTCCCCAACCGAACAATCTAGAAAGTTCTCAGATCAATTGAATTTCCTTGAGATAATATTCAGATATTTTATGAATTTATTTATAGATTAATTTTCTCTTGAGAGTAGTCGCCCCCATTTCTTTCTATGTTGGCGTATCTATGGACCGATTTTATTTTATTTTATTTTTTAATTTTTAATTACATGCGACTATAAAAAAATATTTGTTGGATAAACTTTTGGAACCAGAATTTTTTAATAAAAAGGGCTAATTTATCAAATTTTGGAAATAATATAATATATTTATTGTTGGTTTATTTTATTGTTCAGATTGTTATATTTTAAAAATTTTACAAAATTACAAAATTAATGTGCAATAACAACTATGTAACATAATATTCATTTTTATATGGTTTCAAATCAATAAAATTCTTTAAACAATTGTGAAATAATTTTGGGTGTGTTTGTTTGAGGGTTTGGATTTTGAATTGGGATTTGAATAGTAAAAATTTTGCATTTGAATAGTTGTATGATGTGATATAAATAGGTGTTGATGTGATGTTTTGAATGTAAAATTGATTTTTAATATAATATAAAAAATGAAAAATAGGTGTTTGATTTGATGTTTTTGGGAGAAAAAATAGGATGAAATAGTGGAAATCCAAACAAATCCCTCAAACAAACACACCCATTGAAGATTCTTTACTATTTCTTCCTATAAAGAAAATAAATCAAACTTTTTCTAAAATTTTTTATGTTATAATAAAAAATAATTTTACATTCAAAATATTAAATTAATACTTATTTCTATCAAATTTCAAATAATTATTCAAAACCTAAATATATTCCTACATAAATTTTTAGCATTGTTTTGATTTATTTTAGTTATTTTTTTGTATATTATATATTATTAAAAGGACAGAAAAGTGAAAGTGTATTTTTGTATGTATATACACACACAAAGGGTGAGAGGGGCTGTTTCAGCCCCCTTTACATTATGCTGCGGCCATTCCTGATCGAACCCAATATCCTTCAAACTAGTCGTAAGTTACACTAGGCGAACCATGTGTGACAGTTGACTTGAAATTCTATAGCGTGTGAATGTAACATAACTAGTATTCAAAGGGAAAGAGATTTGGCATTGGAGAAGCAAAAAAAACGATCTAGAAGAACCGTGAATTCAACATAAAATCAAACTCTAATTCATCCCCTAGAAACACTACCCAAAAGAATTGGACTTGCCTACAAATTCTATAGTAGCACCTTACCGGAAAATCACACGTTCATACATCCGAAAAAAGCTATTGAGGGAGAGAAATGTATAGCAATGGAATGAATGACTCTCGATGTTTAGATATAGAATTGTTTGGGATATTATATTTAATAGCGGGGCACAACACAACAAGTATACGTACAAACAACCCCAAAGAAGATCCAATGTGGTTCAAACCATTGCTGCGGAAAATTTAAGAAAAAGTTAACAAGAACGCAAGAATTTGATTATCTACGTCGGAGACTAAGTTAGAATTTTACTATAAAATACGTATAATATATGTTAAAAAAAAAAGACAACAAAGGGTTTTTTTGTTTGTTTTTAACATCAGAACATCAAAATTAAGTGTAAACGATAATACTATTAGAATGAATCCACCTCTGTTTAAAGTCGTGTAAAAGATAACCTAATAATGTGAAATGAAATCGTAATTACGAGATTATAAGTTCAAACTTTATATACCTTTAAACATTTGTTAAATTAAAATTTTCATATAAAAAAAATCTAAATGAAAAACATTTGTTTGACAATAGTTTTGAATAATTTTTTTACTATTTAATCTTTATAATTTTTTATAAAAATATATTATTATTATTACTTATAAAATAACCAAATACAAATATTTTTTAAGTTATACATTTAAATTTAAATTCAAATCAAAATTAAACAAACTTTCAATCTCATGTGAAAAAGAATGACCTAGGATGATTTGATTATGTGTAATTAATTTAACTAGCTGAATAATGAATATATTAACCACTTATACTAAAGTATTTGATAAATCAACTGTTAATATTAAGTATTTATACGTATAATGATAATTAATGATATTTTATATTTTATTTTAAAAACATTTTGTTACATTTTATTTTGTATATTTTTTTAAAAAATTGTTAATTATTAATTTTTTTTAATTATTATTGTAATAATATTTTCTTTTGTTATTTTTAAATATTTGTAAGAAAATTAATATATTATTATTTTATTAAAAATAATGTATAATATAAAAGAACAAATAATTTGTATATTTTATTTTTATTATGTTATTTTTAATTAATTATTTTTTGATAAATTTATAATTTCAAATAAGTTTATTTGATTTTATTCAATTTTTTATACAAAAATTTTGTGATAAAAAATTATATATATAAATAAATAATAATATTAATATATATTTTTATTTTAACTAATTTAAATATTAACAAAAAAAACAATTCACATGAAAAAAGTAATAATTTCAATTACTTTAAGTTTATTAAAGAAAATTTATGACTTACTAATAGAAAGTGATAATCGAAATATTTAATTGATCGGATAAATATCAAAAAAATATACGATATTTTTTATATATAACAAAACTATTAAGTTATACATGATTACAATACAAATATTTTTTTTTATAAATATCATACGGTAACAAAATTGTGATATCATCAGTACAAGGTATTTTCAGTATTTTTTACCACCATACGTCCATTCCTCCAATATAGGAATCTAACCAAATAATGAAATCTAATCAAATAATCATCTGTTTCTTCAATCAAATTTATTAAATTTTACTCTATGTGCTTTTTTTTAAAAAAAAAATATATTTTTTATAAAATATTATTTTAATATTAAATTCAAATCAACTTTTTTTTTTTAAATTAAAAAAAATACCATCCTAAATAAATATAGGAATCGTTTTCTCTTCGACAGACGTCTTAGGGGTAAAAGTGTCAATTTACAAAACTACAGAGTGGTAATAGCGTAGGTGGTCTGGCAATACCATTTTGGATTTCCTCCACTAGGGTTTCTTTTATAATACTAGTAAATAAAAAAACATATTTCTATATAGATTTTTCTCTCTCCTCTCCTTCTCTCTCTCTCATTTTGGTCGACGTTTCTTCATTTGTGCTCATAGAAATTTCGATGTTCTCATACGCGTAGTTTGTTGCGAGTCGAGGGAAGGGGGCGAACTCTAGCTGGTTGTCTTTCCGTTCAATTCTCGGCAATTTGAGATAAAAATATGGCTTTCAGGCGGCTTCTTATTGAGGTCAGTTGCAAATCTCGATCATTTTCTTGATATCTAATCGATTTTCTTTCATTTTTAGATTGTTAGATTTGTGACGAGGATAAATCACTATTGTGATTTTCTTGCTGCTGTTAGTGTGCCCCAAAAAAGCCCTAATTTTGAAGATCTTTTCATTTTTAGGATTTCAGAATTATTGTGCAATTATTTTTGTGGGTTCTTTTGGGCGTTTAGAGCGGGGGTTGGAGGCGTTGTTGAGCATTTACATTAATATTTATATTCTTGTTTTCCGTATGTTAGAAATGGAAATAATTGTTGGTTTTTTAGGCTATAGATAGCGTCCTCCTTTATTTCTGCACTCTGTAGTTGTTTAATTTGTTTTTCATGGTTGACTTGAAGTTTCTTGGATTCGATTTTCTTGTAAATGCCTCTGTCATTGTGTTTGTTTTTATAGATATGACTTGGATGGGTCATTTTCTTGCTTAAAGTTTGTTGTTTTACTTTAGGTCAATAGGCAGGAATCGCGACTGAGGCAATTAAGCAATTTGGCTTCTCGAACTTATAGAACTTCACCATATGAAAGGGGAGGTATGGATTAATTTATCTGACGCCTGCTCTTTATATTTTTGCTATAAATCGATTCGGTGGCATTTGCATTTTCTAGGTGGAAGCTAATTCTTGTCTGTCACATTTGTTATTGCAATATAGATTTGTGAGGCCAAATGGTGGAATCGTGTTTTACTTGATCAAATATCGTTTATTTACTGTTCTGAGTGTTCTTGTAGCTTTGAAATATCGGATATGTTTGAAATTTGATCTACTTTTTAATGCTCCTATGTATCAGTTTCATGTTAATGTTAATTGTTGGTTGCATAGTGTTTTCCAGAGTAGCATTTATCATTTTACCAGTGTTGCTTCAATCTTGCCATAACCATGTTGCTGATATTGTTTGTCTTCTAAGTTTGTTTTGTTCGGGAAGGATAAAAACCATTTTTCTGAAGCATAGCAGCGTAATTTTTTCATTTATATCTTCCATCTTCTACTGCAGTATCAACATGACCACTACCCTCTTATTTACTTATGTAGTGCGAAAGGCTTCGAGTACTGTTGGGACAGGTAGCTATGGAAGATCTGGATATTTTGGTAGTTTACCTCGTAGAGTGCGTGACACTGAAGGATCAGTTGATGCTGCATATCTTAAGGAACTGTATCATCGAAATGACCCTGAGGCAGTCATTCGGTTATTTGAGAGTCAACCTTCCCTACATTCTAGTCCATCTGCTCTTGCCGAGTATGTCAAGGCCCTGGTTAAGGTTGACCGGCTTGACGAAAGTGAGCTACTGAAGACATTGCACAGAGGTCAGCACATAATAATTTCTTCTATAAGTTTAGATTTCCAATCATCGAAAAAGTTTCCTTATGATTGTTAGGTCAGATGCCTGTTGAACTATATTTAAATTTTCAGTTTTGATTCCCTATTCGTGATTTCTATTAACTTCAATTACAGGGATGTTGGGAGCTGCTAGCGCACACTTGGATGAAGAAAGCAGTGGAGCACTTTCAGCTCTTCGAAATGTGGGGAAGTCTTCGAAAACTGGAATTCTTGGCACTGCAAGTGCTCCCATACACATGGTGACTGCTGAAGGGGGGAATTTGAAGGAGCAATTATGGCGCACTCTCCGAGCTTTGGGGTTGACCTTCCTTTTGATTTCTGGTGCTGGGGCACTTATTGAGGATAGAGGAATCGGAAAAGGTAATGTTAACGAGCATTTCCTTGCTGTTTTATATAGTGCATCCGATGCATCTCTGGCTTAAAAGAAGTTCTATATCTGTATTAATTTTATTTGCTGTTGACAGGGCTTGGTTTGCACGAAGAAGTGCAACCTAGCATGGAATCTAATACAAAATTCAGTGACGTGAAGGGAGTTGATGAGGCAAAAGCTGAACTCGAAGAAATTGTTCACTACCTTCGTGATCCAAAGGTAACTGCATCACAGATCGGTTGTTTAGTGAACTTCTGCATTTCAAACACATACTGGATATTAAGAGCATCGAGTGATGGCGTTGGAGTCTTTTTTTGCGAAGCTAAATTTATGTGAGTTCTTATTGTAGCTATCATGTAACTGCAGCGGTTCACACGTCTTGGTGGTAAACTTCCTAAAGGTGTTCTTCTTGTTGGTCCTCCCGGAACTGGAAAAACTATGTTAGCAAGAGCCATTGCTGGAGAAGCCAGCGTACCATTTTTCTCTTGCAGTGGCAGCGAGTTTGAAGAAATGTTTGTTGGCGTTGGAGCCCGTAGAGTGAGAGATCTCTTTGCTGCGGCAAAAAAGAGATCACCGTGCATTATTTTTATCGATGAGATTGATGCCATAGGAGGAAGCCGAAATCCCAAAGATCAGCAATACATGAAAATGACACTAAATCAATTGCTCGTGGAGTTGGATGGCTTCAAACAAAATGAAGGGATTATCGTGATTGCTGCAACTAATTTTCCCGAGTCACTTGATAAGGCGTTGGTGAGGCCTGGCCGGTTTGACCGACATATTGTTGTCCCAAATCCCGATGTTGAAGGGCGGAGGCAGATCTTGGAATCCCATATGTCGAAGGTAATTGTTTCATTATCTTGATTGCGAATCAGACTCTTTTGGGTCAAGCTGCTCTCTTATGGTCAGTAAACCTTCAAATAACATCTCTTTTACTTATATTTGCATCCGTTTTCTTTCTTTTCCTTAAGGTTTATTTATGTATTTTGTTTGAAAATATCGACATCTGATCAATAGGAAATCAATATTCTAATATTACAATATGCTAGAAAATAAGGCTGTAGCTGTTGATATGGATTCTCGATTTGATTCGTATAAGTTGATTTATGTCGCATGTTCTTTCTTCGACTTTCCATCTTTACTTGAATACCATATCCATCTTGCAGGTTCTGAAGGCAGACGATGTCGATCTAATGATCATTGCCAGAGGAACTCCCGGATTCTCTGGTGCGGATCTTGCAAACCTTGTCAATGTAGCTGCTCTCAAGGCCGCCATGGATGGTGCCAAAGCGGTAACCATGGTTGACCTCGAGTACGCCAAGGATAAAATCATGATGGGAAGCGAGCGTAAATCAGCAGTAATATCCCCCGAGTCACGAAAACTGACGGCCTACCACGAGGGGGGTCACGCTCTCGTTGCCATCCATACCGACGGCGCTTTACCAGTGCACAAAGCAACTATTGTCCCGCGAGGCATGGCTCTCGGCATGGTTTCCCAATTGCCGGACAAAGACGAGACAAGTGTCTCCCGCAAGCAATTGCTCGCCCGTCTCGACGTTTGCATGGGAGGAAGAGTCGCCGAAGAGCTCATCTTCGGAGAAAGCGAAGTCACCTCAGGCGCATCGAGTGATCTCAAGCAAGCCACCAGCCTCGCCAGAGCGATGGTCACCAAGTACGGGATGGGGAAACAGGTCGGAGTTGTCACCCACAACTACGACGACAATGGTAAGAGCATGAGCAGTGAGACGAGACTCCTCATCGAGCAGGAAGTCAAGGATTTTCTTGATCGAGCCTACAACAACGCCAAATCCATCCTCACCACACACAACAAGGAGCTTCACGCCCTCGCCAACGCCCTCCTCGAGCAAGAGACACTTACAGGTAATCAGATCAAAGCCCTACTCGCTAACGTAAACTCTCAGCAAACGCAGAAACAGTCGAAGCAGATGGTCAGCTCACAGTCGAGTACAGCTCCGCCGTCGCCGCCCAATGCAGCTGCCGCCGCAGCTGCAGCGGCAGCTGCTGCCGCCGCTACTGCCACTGCCGCAGCCAAGGCTAACGGCGCCACACTGTAAGTCCCTTATAGTTTCAGTGCTCGAATTTAGATTCTCTACCTGAAAAATCTTGACACATGAGAGTATTCGATAAAAATTTCTTCGTCATCATCATAACCATCTCTTCGTCTCCAATGTGAATACGGTTAGTTGTTCTTTCGTGCATATACCCGGTTATTATCCGTTTTGCGCGAACCGGAACCGGTACGTCTGGAATGAGATGATTATTGTTTTGTGTAAGCTTTAGGAGGTGAGCAGAGGAGAAGAAATAAACAGTGAACATGTAACTCTCAGTTTGCCAACCTTACATTATATTTGATACATTATCAATATGGATATTGAAAATTTCGTAGCGGTATACTATAGTTGTGTTGTGTGGTTGAAGGTGGACCGTTGGATGTTGTGGTGTGATGGACGGCCGAGATTAGATTAGATTAGATTGTAGGGCAGGGATATCGCCATCGCCAAGTCCCAGGATGTGTATAAATTGAAATTTAAGCCCCCCGGCTCTTTCAGCCTCACTAGATACGCCAGCCAGCTAGCCCATTCGTGTTGTTATGTGACAGGTGTCGAAATATAATTGGTTCCTTTGATATATATACTGAATATTCTATTGTGTTTTGTTTTGTTTTGTTTAAAGAGGAAAATACTTGTTTGTGCACTTATTCTTATTCCATCCTCTACAGGACACAGCACCTGCCCCCACATAGATATATAAGCTGTGGTGGATGGCCATTTAAAATCATTACTGTAAATGATTTATATATATATATATTTGATATAACTAATTTGTATATGCAGATATTTATTTATTTTATATAACACTTTATTTTTTTAATAAAAATAAGAATTCATTATATGGTAAATATGTATAACACAATAGTATAAATTTCCTATTATTTTTTACATATTCTTACAATATAAAAGGTATTTAATTTTTATATACTTCATAACATATTTGCATTCAATAACAAAAAATAATCATATATACAAAATTAATCAAACTTCCAAGAAAATAGTATATCAATATGCTAAATTTGCTTAACAACTTATACATATTGATCAACATCTTATTTTTATATATGTATTCAATATATAATAAACAAAAAGTTGTTTTCTTTTTAAAATATATAAGATAATAGTTTATTTTTATTGTTAAGATGACATATTTTATGTATAAATTCTGCATATTAAACCAAACCGACAACAATGATATCTTATTTTTGTTGTGGTTTGTATTTTGAATTTTAATATTTTTTAAACCAAATGTAATATCATGTACGAAAATAAATACTAAAATATATTTTATAAAAATATTACTAAAAACAAGGTAATAAAATATATGTAATTGTATCCGCACCAACTCCTCGTTGCTACTACATACATCACACAGCCAGCCACCTACCAACCACGAATCCCTACCTTTTACCCACCCTGGTTTATTTTAATACTATCACATATTTTTCATTAATAAAAATATATATGCACACAAATCAAAGCACTTTTTACAATAACAAATGAATAAATAGATAAATGAATAATAGATAAATGTTATGTGAGGTGGGAAATAAAGATAAGCCAAGTGTGTTACAGATTACGCCATGCCACGCTCCCATCGCCCACAAATATTCATCCTTTCTTCCCCAAACTATTGCTGCTTTGAAATATGATTCACTGACACGTTTGATCCCACCCCATCTCCATTTTTAAAATTATTTTATTTTCAATTTTCTGGCCCTAATTTTATTTATTTGTTTTATCCCTAAATTTGGATCCACTGAATCCCAATCCATCCCCATCCATTCCCTTCCATTCATTCTTCCTTTGGGCTCTCTTCAATTCCAACTTGGGCTAATAAAAATTGGATCTTTTTTTTTTACCAAATTCAAGCTTTTGTATGTATATGTATGCATGTGTATATACAGGCACATACACAAACGTGCGTATGTGTGTGTGTTTTCTGTATATAGAGGCAGTGAGTTGAGTTGCACTCTCAACCTCCCCTAACAACCCATCTTCTCTACCCACCTTAGATCAGGGCGCACTACTGCACTGCACTGGTTCTTCCCCAATTTCCTTGAACCGGCCGTTAATGGAGCGCGCCAGAAAATTAGCGAACCGGGCGATTCTGAAGCGCCTGGCGTCGGCGTCGAAGCAGCAGCAGCACCACCAATTCCGCAGATCGTCGTCGAGGTACGTCTCCTCTTTATCTCCCAGCGTCATTCAATCCCCCAATAATGTCTCCAATCTCCGGCGGAGCTTCGCGCAATTCAACGCCGCTCGATCCATCTCCATCGACGCCCTAAAACCAAGCGACACCTTCCCCCGCCGCCACAACTCCGCCTCGCCGGAGGACCAATCGAAAATGGCGGAGTTCGTCGGATTCCAGTCCCTCGACGCCATGATTGACGCCACCGTTCCTCGATCTATTCGCATCGATAAGATGCAGTTCCCCATCTTCGATTCCGGATTAACTGAATCCCAAATGCTCGACCACATGTCCTATTTAGCTTCCAAAAATAAGGTTTTCAAATCCTACATAGGGATGGGATATTACAACACATTCGTCCCCCCTGTAATCCTTCGAAACATCATGGAGAATCCCGGCTGGTACACTCAGTACACTCCCTACCAGGCCGAGATTTCGCAGGGCCGACTGGAATCCCTCCTCAATTACCAGACCATGATTACGGATCTCACAGGTCTCCCCATGTCCAACGCTTCCTTGCTCGACGAAGGCACTGCAGCCGCCGAAGCCATGTCGATGTGCAACAACATTCAGAAAGGGAAGAAGAAGACCTTTGTGATTGCCAGCAATTGCCATCCCCAAACCATCGATATTTGCCAGACTAGAGCCGATGGATTCGATCTTAAAGTTGTTGTTTCCGATGTTAAGGACATCGATTACAAGTCGGGGGATGTCTGTGGTGTTCTTGTTCAGTATCCGGGGACTGAGGGCGAGGTTGTCGATTATTCGGAGTTTGTAAAGAATGCTCATGGTAATGGAGTGAAGGTCGTGATGGCGACGGATTTGTTGGCTTTAACTATGCTGAAGCCTCCCGGCGAATTTGGGGTTGACATTGTCGTTGGCTCGGCGCAGAGGTTTGGAGTTCCGATGGGCTATGGAGGCCCTCATGCTGCCTTTTTGGCGACGTCGCAGGAGTATAAAAGGATGATGCCGGGACGGATCATTGGAGTTAGTGTTGATTCGTCGGGGAAGCCTGCTCTTCGTATGGCGATGCAGACTCGGGAGCAGCACATTCGCCGCGATAAGGCCACGAGCAACATTTGCACAGCTCAAGTTAGTGTGTTTTGTTTTAGTAGCGCATTCGTTTCGAAAAGATTGTGTTTTTACTTGATCATGTTGCTACTTTTTTGTGCTGAGCTGATGTCGATATATATATATATTTAGGCGTTGCTTGCGAATATGGCTGCGATGTATGCTGTTTATCATGGACCCGAAGGGCTTAAAACGATTGCGCAAAGAGTTCATGGTCTTGCGGCAGCATTTTCTGCAGGGCTGAAGAAGCTCGGGACTGTGGAAGTTCAGGACCTGCCTTTCTTCGACACGGTGAAGGTCAAATGCGGAGACGCGAAGGCCATTGCCGAGGCTGGTTACAAGAAAGAAATAAATTTACGGATTGTGGATGACAAGACTGTAAGCATGTTTAATTTGGCAGACGACGTATCCTTACTGTAAATTCAATGATTTGGAAATTTGGAAATAACCATATGCTCTGTTGATTAGGTAACTGTTTCTTTTGATGAAACGACCACATTAGAAGATGTTGACAAGCTGTTTGAAGTCTTCGCTTCCGGAAAGCCTGTAAGGCTGAATTTTAAGTGCCGATTCTGGGTAGCTTGTAGTGTTGTACGTTTGTTTATAATTCGATTATTTGTTTGTTTGTTTGTTTGTCAGGTTCCATTCACGGCTGCATCTCTTGCTCCGGATGTTGAGAATTTGATCCCTTCCGGCCTCGTGAGGAAGAGCCCTTATCTAACGCACCAAATATTCAACTCGTGAGAATGAGTTCTTTAGTATGATTTTATACGATCTTTTCGATCATTGCGTGTGATGTAACTTTAGGTGTTGCATTGGCGTAGGTTCCATACCGAGCACGAGCTTCTTAGGTACATTCATAAGCTTCAGTCCAAGGATCTGTCCTTGTGTCACAGTATGATTCCCTTGGGATCTTGCACGATGAAACTAAACGCCACCACGGAGATGATGCCGGTCACATTCCCTGCGTTTTCAGATCTTCATCCTTTTGCCCCAGTCGAGCAGGCTGCCGGCTACCAGGTCAAATAAAACTATTTCAAATCCAATTTACTAAATGTTTGCTTGATGAAACGCCATCATCAAGATCCAGATTAGTTTACTTATCGAAATTGTTTCTGGTTTGTTTTGCAGGAAATGTTCAAGAATTTGGGTGAACTTTTGTGTACAATCACTGGCTTCGATTCTTTCTCTTTACAACCGAATGCTGGCGCTGCTGGAGAGTATGCTGGACTGATGGTTATTCGCGCATATCACAGGGTATATTTCGTTAATATAACTAATTTAGACACCGAAGATGGATTTATTTTTTCAGCGAACCATATGTATATATATACTCTGCCCTGGTATCTTCAAATCTACATTCGTGTGCAGTCTAGAGGAGACCACCATCGCAACGTATGCATCATTCCAGTGTCGGCGCACGGCACAAACCCTGCAAGCGCAGCCATGTGCGGGATGAAGATCATCACAGTTGGAACGGATTCTAAGGGAAACATCAACATTGATGAGCTGCGAAAGGCTGCAGAGACGAATAAACAGAACTTGGCTGCACTTATGGTGAGGAAAAGTTTGTTGCTCGAATTTGAACACTATAGTGTCTTTGTTGCTTTCGTGTTGGGGATGAAGAATGTAATATCTGAATTTAGGTTACGTATCCTTCGACACACGGAGTTTACGAGGAAGGGATTGATGAGATCTGCAAGATAATTCACGAGAATGGCGGCCAAGTTTACATGGATGGAGCTAATATGAATGCTCAGGTATAATTCGCTTACTTATCATCTCCATCCTTTGTTGCGTCGATTTCATTACTTTCTTATTCGCATTTGTTCCTTTTTATAGGTTGGTCTGACGAGCCCTGGGTTTATCGGTGCTGATGTTTGCCATCTCAATCTCCACAAAACGTTCTGTATTCCTCATGGTGGAGGCGGCCCGGGCATGGGGCCTATTGGGGTGAAGAAACACTTAGCGCCGTTTCTACCATCGCATCCTGTGGTACGTAAAATAGCATTGGCGGGGCGATGTTGATATTCTGCTGGATTTACATACGGTGGGCATTGTTATATTCGAGTTTTGCATTTTCGATTCTGATCTTGCAGGTAGCTACGGGAGGCATACCAGCGCCGGACGAGTATCAGCCGCTCGGTTCCATTTCAGCTGCGCCGTGGGGATCTGCGCTCATTTTGCCCATTTCATACACGTACATTGCCATGATGGGGTCGAAAGGATTGACTGATGCATCGAAGATAGCCATCTTGAATGCCAACTACATGGCTAAACGTTTGGAGGTCTTTTCGTCGTCTCTAACACTTGCTCGATTGATTTCTTGATATGTCGTGTTGATACATCTTCGTGTTTTTGAACTTCAGAAGCATTACCCTATCCTTTTCTGCGGTGTGAACGGGACAGTAGCCCATGAGTTCATTGTAGACCTGAGAGGATTTAAGGTACCTCGCGAAGCTTGATTTCTGTTTTGATTCCGAAGCATCGATCCCTAATTCTTGCAATGATTGTTGTAGAACACGGCTGGAATTGAACCCGAAGATGTTGCGAAACGTCTCATGGACTACGGTTTCCATGGACCGACTATGTCGTGGCCAGTTCCCGGCACACTCATGATTGAACCGACTGAAAGCGAAAGCAAGGTAAAGAGGCAAAAAAATATACCTGCATTGTATACTGTATATACTAATCTCTAATCTCGAACCGTAATGCAGGCGGAGCTGGACAGGTTCTGCGACGCGCTGATCTCTATTAGGGAAGAAATTTCGATGATTGAGAAAGGAAACGCCGATGCTCAAAACAATGTTCTCAAGGTACCATTACTACTTCCGACATTGATTCTTTGATGATTTGACGACACATATGTTGCTGATTTTCGACACTTGGTATCAGAGCGCTCCTCACCCGCCGTCTCTTCTGATGGCTGATGTTTGGACAAAACCGTACACCCGGGAATACGCCGCCTACCCTGCTCCATGGCTCAAGGCTGCCAAGTTCTGGCCAACGACAGGTTTATATAAACAATCGTACAATTTCTTGATCAGTCGAATCTTAACCAAATTTAACAACGACGGATTGGATCGTGTTCAGGGCGCGTGGACAATGTGTATGGCGATCGCAATCTGATCTGCACGCTGCTGCCGGCGTCTGCGACGGCCGAAGAAGCTGCTAAGGCTGCCACTGCCTGAGAGCTGAGTTCTTGCTCTGGTCTGGACTGGACTGTACTCTGTTGTCTGTACATAACCAACCTACATTATTATTATTATTATTATTCCTTATTAATGCTTCGTCTTCCACAACGCACGTTCTTCTTTATTTACATTGCATAAATATAAATGTTGCTGCTGCCGATGATGATGACGATGATGATGACGATTATGAAGTACTTAGACATTATTATTAATATCAATTATTGTTGATCTTCCCTCCCAGTGCTCTCTCTTCTTAATTGCCATTTGTTCAAAAGTTAGTTTCTCTTTGTTCTATTTTGGTGATCATTTTATACTTCAGCCTGTGATTTTATAGTGTGAGTAAGTCCTTTTGTCTTCACATCTTTCCCATCTTCGATGCGATGAATGTGTTTGGATTTGAATTTGAATTTGGTATTAAAATAATACGTGACAAAGATATTTTATAAAAGTTTTTTTTTCTTTTTTTTTTTTAAGAAACAAATATAGAGTCGGGTGTTAAGATACAAACACATTCTTAAGTTGAGTTTCAGAAAAAATAATAGGATCATATATTTTATTTCTTAAGTTGAGTTTCAGAAAAAATAATAGGATCATATATTTTATAAAAAGTTCGTCTAGAAATTTGTATTTAAATAAAAATTAAATAACTTAAAGCCACATGTAAAATTAACTCCACACACATATATATATATATATATATATATGAAGTTTCATTCTTTGTTTCACTCTATACTTTTCATTCTATACTTCATCGACTCGATCATGGATAATTCTGAAGTTGTCGAATGCTTGGTTAATCTGGCCAATTATATAGAAAAAGATCTTTCAAATAAGGCGAAGATCTCCTCTACTGAGATGGTCGATAATGGCCCCAATAACCTCGAAGAGAACAAGAACGACGGCCACCAAGAACTCCAAGAATTAGAATCACATGAGGAGGCTGGCGATACATCGACAAAAGTTGCTGCCAATTTTTTCACCAAAGGTTTCCCGACCTCGACTTTTGCATTTGTTAATAGGCCTAATCTGCCAATTCATGATGATGATCTTGGCACGAGGCCACAATTAGGTGAACTTCAAGATTTTCAAGAATTGACATCACAATCCCCACAATTAGTTGAAACATTGCCGTCGCCACCACCATCTCCTCCGGCAGCTCAAAATAGTAATAAGGAGGTTTTAATAATGAGGAGGAAGCTGAATAATAGCGATGTGAAAGAACCGCTGTCGATGCCAAACGGGCAAGCCGGTGCTAATTTCAGAGATTTCCTCACCAAAGAAGAGCTGCAAATGCTGGAGGAGAGGCGCCAGCAACTGAGGATCCGAGTGGTGGATCTTTCCGGGAGAACATACGAGTTATTTTTGAGAATGTCGATATTCAAAGACAAGCCGCACAGCTACATTATAACGAAGCAATGGCAGGAAGTTGTGATAAAGAATGGGCTCACAAGTGGCATGGACCTCAACATCTGGGCTGGTCGGGGAGATGACGATCAGATCATCATACGTCTCGAAAGCGGAAGTGGCTGACATTGCATGCCGAGTATTATCTAGATGACACGTGGATAATAATATTTGACGATCATTTTTGTCAAATTTTTTTAGTTACGGGATTAATTGAATACAAAGTCTAGCTATTATTTTAAAATGATTTTCAAATGCTTTTTACTTGTAGAATCTCTGGGGTGCCATGACACTGTCATGTTAACAACTCTAGCGTTTTTGATACATAGTCTAGTCTACTTATGGTCTTAAAAATATACATTGAGTTAGCACCGTAGAATATATTTGTATATATATGCTCTTCAATGTGTACTTTCTTAAATATATTTATTTGTCTTATTGGAATGTATTTTTTTGAGATTTTCTAATAGATACAAAAACAATACTATATTATTGGTCATAAAAAATGCGTAACAGAGTAAAATAATTATATGTGTAATGTTATATTATAATTTAAATAAAAATTAATGGTATTTTATTATTAATATATTATTATTTTTATTAATATAAGAAATTGAGAAATAGAGTAAGAAGGGTACTTTGAATTGACAAATCTTTTGAATTGAGACTAAAAGAATATTAGATTTATTTTTACTATAAAATAATTTTTTGGCAAAAAAAAAAAAAAAGAAAATTTACAAGATATTCAATAATGAGTTATTATTTTAAAGAATTTATTTTTAATTATTGTGATTTGGTAAAATTTATTAAAATAATTATTTTTTTATTATTTTTTTCAGAAGAAAAGTAAATATTTATGAAAATTATGCTTCTCCAAATAAATATTAACAAACAATTAGATAAGTGGGTTAATATAAAAATTTGTTAAAAATTGACAGTAATAATGAAGGTGAATAGTTAAAAGTTTGTTAAAAATTTGGATTTTGAGTTGTAATTTGAATAGTAAAAATTTTGAATTGAAATAGTTGTATGATGTGATATAAGTAGGTGTTGACGTGATATTTTGAATTTAAAATTAATTTTTAAAATAATATAAAAATAAAAAATAGATATTTAATTTAATATTTTTGAGAAAATCTTTTTTGAGTGAACAGTGGGGCTTTTTTTTTTTGCAAAATTCCTCCAACAAACAGGCCCTTAGAGTTTGTTAAAAATGGACACTAATCATGGATAAGCGTAAAGAGAACGGTACACGTGTACTAATTTATTATTTATTAATTCTTAATAAATAGATAGTTTAAATTATTTGAAATTATGACCAATGGATTCAAAGAGCTATATCGAAGGAAATCATATCAGAATCCAATTACACTTATCAAATCTGTTAGCTGTTAAGATTTAAACTCTAACTTTGCGCGCGCCATGTCTATAAATTCTCGTAATTCTCCAACCTCGGTTCATAATTATATATTTCATTCTTCCTTGGCTATTTCTTTAATTTCACCGCTTTCAGTTTTAGTTTCTGCATTCATTCTTTGTTTCTTTCTATCAATTCATCGACTCGATCATGGGTAGCGTCGAAGAAATTAACGAAGCTGTGAATGTGAATGGAGCGGGACAGCCATCGGCACCTGCAGCAGATTCTTTTACCGACGAAGACTGGGGAGCTGTCGAATGCTTGATGAATCTGGCATTTAATATGGAAAGGGATCTTTCAATTAAGGCCAAGGCAATGTCCAACGAGAACAAGAAGAAGAGGAAGGCCGACAGCCAAGAACTCCAAGAATTAGCATCGCATGAGTCTGGGCCACAATTAGGACTAGGAGAGACATCCACAAAGGTTACTGCAGATTTTTTCACCAAAGGTTTCCCGACCAAAAGACGAACACCTCGTAATCTCGTATTTGTTAGAAGGACTAATCTGCCAATTTTTGATGCCATGGAGAGGCCACAATTAGGTGAACTATCTCCTCCACGTGCAGCAGCGCCTGTCGAGGCTGGAATAGGCAATGGCGATGGCAATGGCAATGGCAATGGCGATGAGGAGCAGCGTAATAATAGGGATACTGAAGTTTTGATTATGAGGAGGCAGCTGACCGTAACTGACTTGGCGAAACACCAACAGCGGCTGTCGTTGCCGTTGAACCAAGTGAGTGCTGAATTCAAAGATTTCCTTAGCACCGAGGAGAAGAGGACACTGGAGAGTAACGAAGTTTTGGAGATCCAAGTGGTGGATCTTTTGGGGAATAGAAAGGAGTCGAGCATGAACAAGACAAAGTCGGGACCCAACACGTACTGCTACGCCATAAGGAAGCCATGGTATGAAATTGCCCAAAAGAATGGCCTCATAAACGGCATGTTTATTGACGTCTTGGCTAGTCGGGGAGACGACAATCGCCTCATCATCCGTCTCCAAAGAGCTGCCAACCAACATTGTCATTCGCTTGTCGGCCGAATGTAGAGTCCTGCAAATTTAGCTCTATGTAGATTTAAAACTCATCTCTTTTTTTTTTTTTTTTTGAATTATTATTTGATTTTTATCCCCACAAAATGTAATCTATTGAAAGTAAATTTGATTTAAATTTTATTATTTTGTTTGGATGAATTAAGCATAAAGATTTTTGTAATTATTAGACGAAATCTAATATGAATTTGATCTCTATGTTCCATCACATGGAACATATCAAATTCTATATTTATTTTGATTTCCTTATATATAGATCACTTGAAAATTTAAAATTATTATCTATCTTTATTGAATGTGTCTAATTTTAAATTTTTTCGGGCTTCTTCCCTTTAAAGAATAACATTGAAAGAAGGTAATTTATCCCAAAATCCATTAATCCCGATAAAGACGATAGAGAGATGAAAAGTAGACAATGAAAGTATTAGGGATTTAGATATAACTAAATAGGATTGTGGAAAATAATACTTTTATCCATTATTAATCTACATTATTAATTTTAAAATGGATTAAAAGGATATATTTTTTCACTGAATTAGCATTTGTTAATCGAATCTAAAGCTTTGAGCAGCTATAATACTTGGACAGATACTAGTAAAAATACTTGATTTGACTGTGAACTGTTATATTTTGTGCTTGTGTTCATCTTGATTTCTACTACGGGTGTGTTTGTTTGGGGGTTTGGATTTTGAGTTAGGATTTGAATAGTAAAAATTTTGAATTTGAATAGTTGTATGATGTGATATAAATAGGTGGTGATGTGATGTTTTGAATGTAAAATTTATTTTTAGTATAATATAAAAAATAAAAAATAGGTGTTTGATTTGATGTTTTTGGGAGAAAAATTTTGGATGAATAGTGAGATTTGGACCAAATCTCTCAACCGAACACACCCTACGAGACAATCAATCTTGTGAGTTTGTGTAAAAGAACTCATATGAAAAATTACGAAAGGATATACCAAGAGCAGAATACTAATACTAATGCAACTAAAGATAATAACAAGAATTAGAGTTTATCTTCCAATTAGTGAATCGAAAAAAAACGAGATGATCGAATCCATGCAAAATTTCAAAATTTGTACACAGCTGCTAAATTTCTAGACGCATTTATAAGGCTCTACATTTCGACGACAGCGGCAATGGAGTGTAAGGACGAGCTGCCGTTGATTCCGAATTCAAATAGCGATGAAGAAAAAGAAGCTGCGAATGAAGCCGAGAAGTCGCCAACGGTGATTCTGAGTTCAGATAGCGATGAAGAAAACAAAGGTAAGAATGAAGCCGAGAAGCAGCCATCGGCGCTATGAAATTATTGGCGGCGTGGCTGAATCATTACAGCAAAATATTAAACCGTTCATGGTACCGTGCTCCTT